TCCCTGGACAGGATATCGGATGCAATTACTCACTTGAACCCCGAGAATGTCACTGATGTCTCCTTAGGGGTCTCTTCCAATGAGCAGGACCAAGGTTAATGAGGACATATTTGAGGGGCACTGCTCACTGTTTCTGCATCCTTCCTGCTGTGATTCAGTGTGCGAGGCTGAAGGCAGGATTAGAAGGGGAAAGAGCTTCAGGGCCACTTCTCACATTTTTAGCCAAACTTACTTTCTTACTTTGTAGTAATTGTTTTCAAAGTAAGCTTAGAAGTTGAAGTTTAGGCTCAAAAATAAAAAGTTGAAGTTGAAATTCTCATTTTGAAAGAAGATTCTAAAAAAAGAAAATAGGATTCTTTCTGTCTCCTTAGAATTCTTTTCTTTTTGTCTTAAGAAATGGCTGGGTGGAGTGATGTACACCTATAATCTGCTATTCAGGGATTGAGGAAGGATAACTGGAGTTTGAGGCTAGTCTGGGTAATTTAGCAGGACACTGTTTCAGTTTTAAAAAGGTGGGCCAGGGCTGGTGAGATGGCTCAGTGGTCTAAAGCACCTACTTGGAACAAGCTTGGCAAAGCACAGGGACCGCGGTTCGATCCCCCAGCACCACATGCCAGCCAGCCCCACCCCCTGGTGGGCTGAGCTGGCCACGCGCACACACACACACACAATAAATAAATAAATGTTCTTTAAAAAAATAATAAAAAAAATAAAATAAAAAGGTGGGCCAGCAAGATAGCTCAGCTGTCTAAAGTGCCTGCTTAGGCAGATGCAGGGGACTGTGATTTGATCCCCATCACCACATGCCGCACCAGCTCCGCCCTCAGGGCAGGCTGAAGGGGCTAAAAGAAAAAAAAATTAAAAAGGCTGGTAAGATAGTTCAGTGGACTAAGCACCTGCTTAGTAGACAAGTACAGGAACCAGGGTTCAATCCCCCCCTACAATATCCACCCCTGGCTCCCCACCCCAGGCACACTGAGACAGTTACCAAGTCCAGGTGTGGTGTTGCACGCCTGTAATCCCAGCCCTGGGGAGTCCGAAAATAGGATCACTGTGAGTCCAAGCTATGTAGTAAAACCCTGTACCAAATACATTTTTTAAAAAATTTAAATAGTATAGGAATATGGTCCTGTTGTGCAGGGCTTCCTAGCATGCGCAAGTTTAATTCCTAGTGTCATGGGGATATGTTGTTGCCCAGGCTGGTCTCAAAACTCCTGGCTCAGGAAATCCTCCTGCTGGACTGGGGGGAGACAGCTCAGCAGCATAAGCATCTCCCTGGCAAGTGCAAGGTCCTGAGTTCAATCCCTGGTACCACAAAAAGCCAAAGAAAAGATCTCAAGAAATCCTCCTGGAAACAGGGAGATGGCTCAGTAGAATAAGCGCTTCCCTGGCAAGCACAAGGGCCTGAGTTCAATCACGGGTTCCACAAAAAAA